CCGGTTTACTGTTGCTTCTCCAGTGCCTGAATCAGTGACCAGCACCTGGAAGGTGTTCAATAACACAGCAGGTCCTTGAATAAAAAATCATCTGAATCCATCCACAGAGGATGTTTGTTATTCGCCATATCTGAAAAGTCGGTTTCCATGAACCCATCAAGGGACTTACCAACGTTAAGGGAAGATTAACTGCACTAGTTGAAGGACGTGTTACGGCAATCAATGCACTGAATCAGAGATCAATCAAATGCTTGTTTGTGTCCAAAGAGAAAGTCGCCTTGTTCCCCATTTGACAAGAAATCATTTAGGAGATTTAATTAACAGTCTTGTTTAGATGAGGGAAGGGAAAAAGTAAACGTGTCTGTCTGAACACAGAATTTTCTAAGACATAGTAGGAAAGACAGACAACCGTCCGTCCTCCCTCGGTTCTATTATGCTCTAAGGTGTAATTTGAACCGAAAATCGTCATAAATCAGCATACCTTACGCACCACTTGGGAAGCAGAGAGCAAGTCGAACATCAGAAAGAGGAGGGGAGGAGGGGAAGGAGGATGGGGGAGTCATCTCCTTGCCCGCCGCTGACCCTGTTTAATCTTCTGCATCATAATCGGTGCCCTGGGCATTATCAGGAGTGACCCTGGAGCACAGAAGCAGCCCTGAGCACTGCTGGGAGTGGCCCAAACCTTACAATCTCCCCCCAAAACCTGGGTGCACGTAACCCACCTCACCCTTATATTCACAGGAACCAGTCGGAGGTAGGACTGGTGGAGGAGGTTTACTTTCAGGAAACTGCAGACCCAGCGTGAACTCTCCCGGGTGAGCTCGTCAGAAAGTTCCAGGCCTCACGGGGACACCCATGGCTTGACATCAAGAGAGGACTTCCAGGGTACCGGCTAAGAGAGGCCCAGGAGAGAGCCGGGTAGAGCTGGCAGAGCGCTCGGTTCAAGACTTCCCATTTCCCTGCCTGACACCCATCCGTCCGCGTAGAAGGCAGGACGGCCGACCCCAGGGGCATGAGGCAAATCCATCCTCCGGCCCGAGTGCAGTGGGTGATCCTAGGGCAAGGGAGGGACGCTCCAAACTGAAGAGGAGACGGAAGGTCGAAAGTGAACTAGATTAGACTGGGGCTTTTTATAGCTGGAAATGGGAGAAAAGCTATCATTTGGTGTCGGTGTCATTAGCCAGGGGAGGGGAAGAGGGAGAGACTCAAATCACAGCTCCCGGTGGCGACCCGGACCTGTCCTCTCTCTGTTCTCACCCACTCAGACTGCTCAATCACCTAAGGACACAAGGGCCAGCCTTTCTGCCCAGCGCACCGGCAGCCGGCACCTGACCGGGAAATTCCCAGGCGGGATTTACTGTCCTGGGGACGTCGCCGCAGACGAGTCCTTAGAGCTCACGCCCGTTCTGTCTGTGCGTGTCCTTTCTCGAGAGGTTAAGTCTAATAAGGACTCCAGAGTTCAATGGTCACACCATTACAGGCCTGGCTGTCTGAAGCAGTAAAACCACAAGTTCTTAAAAAAAAGTGAAACTAACAGAATGACAAATCAGATAAGGGTTCCACGCGGTAAAAAAACATTTACAACACAAAAATGCTAAATAGCTAAGATTCTTAAGTCTTAACTTGGTTTAAAATATCCTAACTAGGCTCAAGAGACAGGAGAGTAGGTCAGGTGCCGGCCTAGCACCACCCAACCGGGATCCATTCCCAGTACCACATCTGGTACCCCAAGCCCTGCCGAGAGTGACCCTTGAGCAGAGCCAGGAGTAAGCAGTGAGCCCTGAGCTCTGCTGGGTGTGGTTCAAATCTCCTCCCTCCCTCCCCCCCCACAAAAAATTCTAAATGACAGATTTTATTTTGCATTCAACAGACATTCCATTTCAAAAAAGCTCAGGATGACCCCCCCCCAAAAAAAAAACACTATCTTCCTACACCAGAGCAATTCGATTAATCAAAAGGCTTACCAAAATAAACAGCACACATGTCCGCTAAAATATTTTCTAGGAATAATAAATTATGACAGAGCACTCTGTCATACAACAACTGCTGGGACCAATAATATCAAGAGCTCAAATGGCTTCATGTTACCTGTTATTAAATAGAATGGAATCCCACTAACCTAACCAATTCCAACAGGAACTTTTGTTTTTTTTAATGAAATATTCTTTCTTGGGGGGAGAGGGGGGAAGGCAAAGCCAGTTGTGCACAGGGCTTCCTCCAACTCAGGAAACACACCTGGCAGGGTTCGGGGAGACCACAGGGGATACAGAGGGTGAATCCGTCTCACACGACGTAAGTGCCCCACCCCTGTGCTCTCTCTCTAGTCCTGAAACCATCTCATCTTTCCAGAAATGACCCGGTACAAAAGGCTAGCACATTAGGCCACCAAACGCCTCTGCTCCAAGAGCGCTCTGTGGACCACATGTCAATACATTCTGAAATGTTGTCTCTGCAAAGAGTCAAAGGACTTATAGGGGGCCGGACTGGAGTGCAGCGGGAAGGGCAGTGAAGGGCAGGAGTAAGCCCTGGGTACTGGGTGTGGCCCCCACACAAAACTAGCATTACAGTCAACTTTTCATCTTGGTGGAGCAGGGCAGATCTGGAGCAAGAGAATCGTCTTACAGTTGAAAATCAAAGTTTCGGAAGCCCAAGAGCTTCCACTGTGTCGGGCGCCTCCCGGGGTGGCCTGAACACTCTGCCACCTCTCAACTCACGTGAAAATGAGTTCTCTTCCCGGGCTTACAGGAGTTCCACACACAAGAACAACTACTTAGGAGCTAGCAGTATTTCAAAGCCTGGAATTATGGTACTTACTTCATCCATTTCATTCTGGGTTACAAATTATCCATCAAGATTGCTGGATTTATTATAGTCCAAATCTAAGAACTTTCAAGGCTTAAAACAAACGCTTGGGTCGCTTTTTTTTTATTTTGAGCTGCAGAGTTTTCAAAGAAAAAAAATCTCTGGCAATCTTGCTTCCATCCTTCCCAAGTACTTCCTCAGAGGTCTTCGATGGCTTCTCCTGGGGTCTGGAGAGAGTTCAGCTGGCGGGCACCCTGACATGCAGCTGACTACGGTTCAGTCCTTGGCACCCCATAAGCTCTGGATTCACTGAGCTCGGAGCCAGGTTGAAACCCAGAGCAGAGCCAGTGTGTTCGCATAACTTTTTTAAAAAGATCATCTCCCCTATGTTAATAAGAATGCACTGGGTTGGGGGCCATGCCCAGACCGCCTGCAGAGTCTGACCCGGGCTCCTTGGAGACACATCTCCGGCCCCCACTGTGCCTCTAAAGAAAATAATCCCACCCTCTTCTTCATGTCCTTAAACACTGCTAAAAAGGTCCCTCCAACACGTGAACTCAGCCTCTTCCTGACAACTGTATCCTGAGCCCGCCCCAACACTGCCCCTTCACACACCCCCTCCAGCTGTTCTGCCGCTGCTAAAACTGGAAAATGAAAAGATACAAACCTGCTACTTTGCCCCTCCCCAAAGCAACAAATTAGTTAAACTACTAATTAGCAAGATAAAGTACGACATGAAACAGTTTCACAGGAATAAAGTCGCACCTCTCCAATGGAACGAAAGTTACCAGGAGCACAAGCCGAGCCAGGTCCCCCTCTTGTGCCCCCCAATACCCACCAGGACTCCGCAGGAGGAACTCACTCGGGGGACACCGGGCGGGGCTTCGGCACCGTCGGAAACGCGCACTCGCATTCTCCCACACGCAGACGGTGGCGCTGACACACATAAATAACTAAAATGTAATTACTCCGGGGGATGGCTGGGCCAAGGACCATGGCAACAATGCATCTGGGGGAACGGCGGGTGCTACCACCGAGGTGCGCAGGAAAAACGGGCAGTTTAGCCCGGACGAGTCTGACTGTGGATGAAAGAAGCTCTTGGGCTGGAGCGAGAACTTTGACCAAGACAGTTTCTCTCCGACTTTTCTCTAGATCGCGCCCAGTTTTCTCCGAAGCTTCCACGCCGGGCGTCTTGGACGGGGCTGGACAGGGCAGCGCACGCGTCTGCGGAGCGCGCGCGCGGGGGACACGGGGCGAACCGACGGGCGGCCCGGGGCTTTACAAGAGAAAGACAAAGGCAGAAACCTGGTCGAGCGCTATTTGCTCCAGTCATTCGGCACGCGGGAAAGGAGATTTGGCTCGTTAGGAAATGAATTGGCAAAGGGCAGCGACTTCATGAAAGCGAGGAGAATCGCATCAGGGCAGACCGGGACCCGTGGCGCTGCCCGCTCGACGGGCCGGGCGCGGAGGGAAGGGGCAGCGGGAGCGGGAAATGGCATGGACCGGCCAGGGCGGCCGTCCGCCCCCTCCAGGGGACGGTCCCGGGGCGCGCGGGGGACGGCCACGGCGCCCTCGGACACCCCCGACGGGGCCGCTCTCGTCCCGACACCCCGTTTCCCGCCGGCCCCGCAGCCCCGACGCCCGCCAGCCCACCTGCGTGACCCTGGGCCAGCCGCTGGCCCCCTCGCCCAGCTGGGCGGGCACCGCGATGCCACCACGGGGGCCACCCACCTGCCCGCCCGCGCCTGGAGCCTGCGAGCCCCGACGCGAACGCGCACCCCGAGAGGCCAGGGCGCTGCCCGGGCCGGGCAGCCCCCCGCGGGCACCCCCCGCAGCCGCGCCCCTCGGCCCGGCGCCGCCCGCCGGGAATCCCCGGCGCGTCCCGCAGAGGGGGGGTGGGGGTGCGCGACCGTCCCGGGGGTCGGGGCGCCCCGGGAGGCTCCGGGCCGGACGGCGCCGGGGACCCCGGGCCGGGGGGCGCCACCGCGGGCCGCGGGACCGGGACGCCGCCCCCTCCCGCCGGCCCGCAGCCCGCGCGCGCAGGTGAGCCCCGCCGCGGCCTCGGCCAGGTGCAGCCGCGGGGCCCGCCCGACGCGCGGGGCTGCAGGGGCGCGGCCGCCCCGACCCCCCACCCCCGGCTCCCCGGCCCCCCGACCCCCCGGCCCCCCGCGCCCCCGCGCCCCGCGCCCCGCACTCACCAGCGCCCGCCGGCCGGCCCCTCGGTCCCCTGCTCGCCGCCGCCGGCTCCGCCCACCCCGCCCCGGCGCGGCCGCGCTCCGCACGCCCCACTTCCCTCCGGTCGCCGGCCCGGAGCCCCCGCAGGCCGCGGCCCCCGGCTCGCACAGGCTCCCGAGCCGCCCCGAGCTGCGCCCACGACGGCCCGCCCGCACACCGCGCACGCGCGCACGCGCCGCCGCGGCCCCCAGACGGCCGCCGAGATTCCGGAGCGGGCACTCCCAGCGCGCCGGGAACTACAAGTCCCGGCAGGCCCCGCGCGGGTGCCGGCGGCGTGGCGGGGGGGCGGGGAGCCGGCCGCTTCCTGGTCCCGGGCGCGGCGGCCTCGGGCGTGGGCGGGAGGCGCGCGCGGAGCGCTGGGCCCCGGCGCCGCGGTGCAGCCTGGGAGTGGTAGTTTTTCAGGCCCACGGGGCTGGGCTCGGCGCGGGGCGGCGCGGGGAGGGCGGGGGGCGGGGGGGGACGCAGGGTTCTCTGATGTCATCGCCGCCCAGAGATTCGAGGCACGGGGATCTTTTAAAAATAGACTTCGTTTGCAGATGATTTGTTTGCAAGCTGCCCCGTCGTCGTCGTCGTCGTCGGTCCAGAAAGCATGAATTATTCTCAGGCCGCCGCCGTGGGACCTGAAAAAGAAACGCTTTCCAGCGCCCAAGTTGCGCGCTCCGAACGTTTCTGGCCAGAACCGCAACTCGTGCACCGCCCGCTTACAAAGACGTTAATAGGACTGTGGGAGAAGAAAGTTGCGGAGAGGACTAGCTCCAGTGCTTTCAGGAAAGCGGGAGCAGAAGTGTGCATTCGCTTGCGTGTGTGCGTGCGTGTGCGTGTGCGTGCGTGTGTCTTCCTAAAGATTTAGCGCCTTTGCAGAGCTCCATGATTCCCAGTCCGTGATAGGCGAGATGCATTTGTTCCTCTGAGACCAAGACTCTTCCCTTCTTCATAGGGCCTGCAGTCTAGAATGAGACTCCCCAAACAAGCAAGACATTCCCAACTTGAACGTGGTGGAGAAATAAAGCGCCTGAAACGCGCTATCCCACAAGACAGTGGAGGAAGGCTTTCTCAGAAGTGATGTTTGGGCCCAAGCCTGAAAGATGAGGGTTACTGAGGCCTGCAGAGAGCTGGGAGGAATTCTGTGCCACCCTCCTCCCGGTGCACAGCGCTCTGCTGGGCTCTCAGTAAATATTTGTTCCGTTTCTGTCCTTCTTCCTTTCCATAGCCTCGCACAGCCTGAGATCACATCCTTCCCCCTTCAAAATCTTTATCAGCACCTTCAAAACATCCTTCCTGTGGGAAGATGCACCGGAGACAAATCAGTGTCCAGCGGGAGAACAAGCTGATCCGCTGCTAAGTAGGTCGGTGCTCTGCGCCTGGAGTCTGTCTGGGTGGGGACCCCAGACCCCTGTCTGCTCAGAATGACCTAGAAGCCTGGTTGTTCCCAGCCCAGGGAGATAAGACAGGGGTCAAGGTCCTGGCCTTCAACAGGCCGACCTGGTTCCATTGCCTCCACCTCTTATGGTCCCCCAGCACCATCAGACGTGATCCCAGAGCACAGAGCCAGGAGCAAACCCTAAGCACTGCAGGTGTGGCCCAACCTCACCCACCCCCTCTCCCATTCCTCCTCCCCACCCTGCCCCCACACCCACCAAGCCTAGGTTCTCCTGGCCTCTTCACTTGGCTTCTACGTAGAGCAAGAAAATCAGATGTGGGGCTGGAGCAATAGCACAGCGGGTAGGGCGTTTGCCTTGCACGCGGCCAACCCAGGTTCAATTCCCAGCATCCCATATGGTCCCCTGAGCACCGCCAGGGGTGATTCCTGAGCGCAGAGCCAGGAGTGACCCCTGTGCATCACCGGGTGTGACCCCCCCAAAAAAAATCAGATGTGGAGGCTGGAGGGACTCAGAGGGCAGGGTGCTTACCTTGCATGCGGCCAACCCAGATTTGATCCCCACCCCCCACCCATATGGTCCCCTGAACCCCACCAGAAGTGATCCCTGAGCACAGAACCAGGGATAAACCCTGGACACTTCAGGGTATGACCCAAAAACCAAAGAAAAAAAAATCAAATGAGGGCTTCCCTCTGTCGGCTCTGGAAGGCAGCTCAGCTGAGCTCTTCTCTGAGGCAGAAGTGGGGTGAGACTCAACTAACCAGCAGAGACTTCCCTGGGTGACCTAAGGCAGGGGGGGCCTCCATGGCTCACTGGCAGGTATTCTGAGCCTCAGGTACTAGCCCAGGTGAAAGTGCCTGCAAGTTCTGTAGCTTCATCTGTGTAGACTCTAAACGCTCCTCCTCCAGTGCTCACGATCAGCATTTCCACGAGGGTCACTCTGCCTTCCAGAAACCTTCGCTGGGTACCCGGCTGAAGCGTACCTTCTGGGGAAGAAAGAGCCTCATTTCCTCGCCTGCATAGCGGCGAAAAGGCTTTGTCCTCATCACCCTTTAAACACTGACCCCATGGAGAGAACCAGCTTTTGTTTTGGGGTTCGCTTTAGTTTGGATTTTGTGTCACGCCTGGCAGTGCTCAGAAACTCCTCTAGCTCAGTACTCAGGGCTCTCTCCTGGGACCGAGCCGGAAGTGGGGGGTCCACCAAGGGCCCCCTTCATGCAAAGTATGTTCCTGCCGTTTGAGCCATGGTCCCAGCCCTGTTTCATTTTCTCACAAGGGGTGTGGATAACATTCAAAAATAGGGAAATTTCACATCATAATCCCAATGCCACCTGCATGAGATCTGCAGACATCTGGGCTTTCCTTCCCTGGCTGGACGACCTGGGAGAGTCTCCAGCTTGGGAATTCTAGAAGTCTCTAGATGGAAGATTTGGGATATGCTTAAATTGAATAAAGGATCTCTGAGGGATCTGAAATCAGATTCGAAGTTGACATCTTGTGTCAGAGCTGAAAATCGAGCCCAGAGATTCAGTTCCCGAGACAGTCGGTCAGGTCCCGCGGGACCTAGAATGTCTCCTGCGGGTCCTCAGCGTCTGCATCACTGGTTCAATGGTTTTGAAAATATTCCTCTGCTCCTTTTGCCTAACCAGTCCCAGAGGTTGTTTGTCTTTGAGAATCACACAGTGAGGGGAGTCCAAGACACGATTCCAGGGGCTGAAGCTATCGCGATAGCACAGTGGGTAGGGTGTTTGCCTTGCACGCGGCCGACCCGGGTTTGATTCCCAGCATCCCATATGGTCCCCTGAGCACCGCCAGGGGTAATTCCTGAGAGCAGAGGCAGGAGAGACCCCTGTGCGTTGCTGGGTGTGACCCCCCCAAAAAAGACGATTCCAGCTGTCCAGAGACACAGCAAGAGCTCGTGCTCAAGCTATCCTGAGGTTGGTTGATAAGCAGAACCTTTTCGTGGGAGGCCCAGAAACAGTGGAAGGAAGAAAAGAAGAAGGAGGAAAGGAAGGAATGAAAGAAGGAATGAAGGAAGAAGGAAGAAAAAGGAAGGAAGGAAGGAAATCGAAAGATGAAAGAAAGGAAGGAAGGGAGGGAGAAAGAAAGAGATAAGAAAGAAAAGCTGCATTTCCTCTGGCCTTTGGGGCACGGCAGGGCTTCTGATATAACAGTGCTGTCGGTGTTACTTTTTAAAAATGTTGAATATTCCCTTGTTGAAATTACAGTCTGGGAGCAAACCAAGAACATTCAGGACCCGCAGGCAGCGCTGAGAAATGCTGGAATATTCCATGGACAGGAGGAGTCAAGGGAGAGGAGGAGTCTGAAGTCAAAGACCGGCAAATTCCCCCCAGCCACCTTCGTCCTCATCCTCGTCCTGCCTCGTGTGTCAGATACTCGGGAGTTTTGTTCAGAACTCGTGGTGGAGTTGGCCAGAGAGCACAGCGGGGAGGACGCTTGCACCCCCCACGGGTCCCCCCGGGCCCCACCCCGAATGATCCCTGAGCACAGAGCCAGGAATAAGCTCTGAACACCACCGGGTGTGGCCCCCCAAAACAATAACAGTAAATCGGTGTTTGAAGCCATCTGGAGCCCTGGGTCCTCTAGGGAAGACCTTAGCCCCATGGCCTGGGCCATGATGCAGCCGGTGGAACTCCTGCCTCAGCCCCATCCCCGCTACCTCAGGACTGATAGGTCTGAGAGCAGGACCACCAGGCCCACTCTGCAGATTGAGCATCACTGGGCGCAGCACCACCGCCCCCCACCCGGGTACTGATGTGGGAGCCCCTGATAAACCAGAGCGTCTCTCCCTTCGACACGAAGCACAGCACTTAGCACATGGCCCAGAGCCACAGGGAGAGTCCCCAGGCTTGTGTCACTTCTCTCCAAGGTCACATTCGGTCCCTTGGAGAACGTCTACATGCCCTCCTTAGCAATGATCATTTTCCCTCAAGTTATGTTTTTTTAAATTAAATTATTTATTTTAATTTCGAATACCCATCCCTCCACCAGTGCCCATTTCCCACCACCATGAATCCCAGTATCCCTCCCTCCCCCCTTCCCCCTATCCCACCCTGCCTCTGTGGCAGGGCATTCCCCTCTGTTCTCTCTCTCTCCTTTTGAATGTTGTGGTTTGCAAAAGAGATACGCCTGATTTTCAGGGAGAAACATTGGGATTGGGAGGCAGGTCACACCCACAGGTTACTCGGAGACCACGCCTGGCTCTGTGCTCAGGAGTCACTGCTGGCAGACTCTGGCACCAGCATCAGCCTGGCGCCAGGTGCTCTCTGGCTCTCACATGAGCTGTTTTGTGTATTGATTTGTGTTCTGCAAGTTGGGCCAGGGAAGAGCTCAAAGGGCTGGGGCGAGGGCTTTGCATATGGGGGGGGCCAGGTTCCATCCCCAGCACTGTGGAGTCCCTATCGGCACTCAGGAATGACCCCCGAGCACTGGCATGAAGTATCCCCGAGTTACTCCCCTTCCCCGCTCTCCCAGAGTTGAAACTTAGAGCTTCACACTACTGGGCAAGTGCTCACTGCTGAGTCCCCTCCCAGCCCCAGCTGGCCCCGCTGGAGATTCTGAAGAACCTGGTAATGAATAAAGCAGGGTTGGGGGCAGGAGAGAGCATGCAGTTAGCAAGACGCTTACCTATGTGGCTGACTCGGGTTCCATCCCTGGCAACCCATGTAGTCCCCCAGCCCCATCAAGAGTCACCCCTGAGCATAGAGCCGGGAGTCAGCCCTAGCACCATTAGGTCTGGCCAACAACGGCATCAAA